CAAAAAAAAAAAAAAAAAAAGACTCAGAGAGGGCAGGACTGAGGCTCCTGGGGAAGGCCTGGAGGGCATCTGCTGGGATCCATCCGCTGCCCACCCCACCTGACACCACTTTCCTCCAGGTTCTCCACGTACCTGGCACCATTTTCTGGACCTGTGTAGTCTAGAATCACTGGGGCTCTTGGAGAATGAGCTGAGATTTCCCCTGATTCCTGCCAGTGGCCCTTACAGCCACTATGTCTTTGGAGCTCTCCGTACCTCAGGAATATAACCCTGTGTTCCTCGGAGGACCTGGGGTGGCCTTCCCATAATCATCCTCATGGCCTTATTGCTGGACTCCACTGTCTTTCAATTGGAAATTTCAACACATATATTCCAGAGAAGGTGAAAAACCCTGTTTCCCTAGACAGTTACCCAGATACAACTGGCCTGAAGGTTTTTGCTTTTGTATCCACAGTGGGATAAGGGGGCTTATAAAATGGACATGCTGGCTATGTGATAACTGGTTACGCTGCCATGCGAGTCACTGTCATGGCAGGACTGAATTGTTATCACCAGAGCCCAGATCTGGGAACAGGCCTTTCATGGCCCTCTGTGTCGTTGCAGGCAAATGATGTTGTCTGGGACTGTGTGTGACATGGATTTGACTTTTAGGAACAAATTATTTTTGTCGTTATTTCATCTACCCTGAAAATTGAGAGAGTGGTCACTTCATTAACCATACAGAATGAGACTAGGATCCCGTCGAGGGGATTGAGACTGACCCGTGTGCCTCGGATGCCTGTCCTTGGCCCACATCAGCATGAGTGCCAGACCTTCGCAGTCTCTCTGAATGCTGCAGCTCAGCTTCTTCTGCCTTTCTCTGAATGTCTGGAGATGTGCTTAGCCTTAGATGAAACGGGAACTTACTTCCTTGGGCTTATCCTTCACCTGTCTTACCATTTTTTCTTCTATATAAATTTGAATACTTTGTCCTTCATCTCTGAGCCCCTGGCCACGGCGGTGTGTGCACGTCCTGCACTCACATGCAGGCTCCCTGGCCAGTGGGCATCTGCGTCCACTTGCAGGCTCTCTCCTGAGCACTGTCCGTCGGGCTTGTCAGTATTTGCTGTGCAGTGACAGCAGGAAAACATCCTGACAACGACGTTTTCTCCAATTAAGTCATCATTTAAGATGAATGACTTTTCTATTCATTTGGGGAAATATTTTATTAAAGGCCAACCTGGAAACAATAGTTTTGCCTGGTGGCCATGGTTGTCTAGACAAGTGTAAGATTGGTGAGATGTGGGTCAAAACTGGCCCTTAACGCATACCTTACAGCAGATAACACTTCTCAGTATGTCTGGTAGTCATAAAAATAAGACCAAAGTCTAACACATATGTGGGCTTCTAAGAAGCGCTCCTTTGGCACAAGTGTAAGACCAGATGCACATCTAGCACGGGTATTGACATTCAGAGGGTCAGCCCTGCTCCTATGCCAGTGGGTCCCTAACCCTTGCATCAAAGCACGAGCCTCAGGTCCATCGTAGCACCGTTCAGTCTGAGTGTCAGAACTCTCACAGGCTCTGAGTGGGCGCTGGGCTCTGAGCCAGTGAGCCAAGCTACAGACATTTGGGAATAGAGGTTGAAATAACCGGGAGGCGTCGCTGCTCAGCACCTTTGAGAAGGAGTGCTGGGCGCAGCCTGTGCTCTCCCAGCTGAACTCACCTCACACTATCCCTTTTGCTTGTGGTCCTGCTTGTTACCCTGCTGTGTGCCCTAACCTTGCCCAGCCCTGGAGCTGACCGCAGGTGGGCAAGGACAGAAGGCAGGGAGCCCTTTACTGCTTCCAAAGTCCTGTCTGAAGGCGGGAGGCATCAGAGAGCAGCACCAGGTGGGCATCGGGGACAGGCAGGTGGCCCTGGGGCCCTCTTGTCCACGTGCCTCAGTTTCCTCCTGAGGACAGGGCTGGTATTACAAGGATCATAGGGATGGCTCATGTGAGTGCTGACTCCCACGTGGGCGTATTGAAAGATACCCAGCCAGATCCTCTATGTATGACCCTTGGGTGTCAGTTTCTAAGAATGTTTTGGAGGAAACACACACACATACACACTTGTTTGAGAAATTTACCTGTGTGGTCTTCCAGATTAGAAGTACTTGTAAGTGTCACTCTGTGCAGAAGAGCGGTGTTGACATTCAGAGGGCCAGCCCTGCTCCCGTCTCAGTGGGTCCCTAACCCTTGCGTCTCTGCTCCTCTCCCAGGTATTAGCCGATGCTGTCTCACGCCTGGTTCTGGGTAAGTTCGGTGACCTGACCGACAACTTCTCCTCTCCTCATGCACGCAGAAAAGTGCTTGCTGGCGTCGTCATGACAACAGGTGAGCATCCTGGTGCTGCACGCTGCCCTGCCCCCACCACATTCACACACGTGAACGGCCTCAGTCTGCAGCAGCCACTCTCACATGCCAGCTGAGATGGTTTTTCTTCTTTGTCTTCAAAACCTCTGCTGAATGGGAATGTGGGAGCTGCACTTACAAGCCCTTTCTCCTATAAATGTTCATCTTTTAAACCTAAGTTCACATGGAGAAAGCACACTGTGTTAGTATGTAATTCCTGTTACTTGTGTCACGAGGGTGGCTTCATCTACTCTGGAAAGCCCAGCTTCATTGAAACTAGGCTCTGTCTGATTTATCACTTAACCACTGATGCTGCCAGGTAAGTTTCTGACTGTTACAGGGTAGGGAGAAAGCTCATACAAGAGTAGAAAATCCTGTTTGGCGCCTGTGGCTCAAGCAGCTAAGGCACCAGCCATATACACCTGAGCTGGCGGGTTCAAATCCAGCCCAGGTCTGCCAAACAACAATGACGGCTGCAACCAAAAATTAGCCAGGTGTTGTGGCAGGTGCCTATAGTCCCAGCTACTTGGGAGGCTGAGGCAAGAAAATCGCTTCAGCCCAGGCAGTTGCTGTGAGCTGTGATGCCACAGCACTCTACCCAGGGCGACAGCTTGAGGCTCTGTTTCCAAAAAAAAAAAGTAGAAAATCCCTGAAAAAAGCAAAGTTTAGGATGACAGAAGAAACCTCATTAAATTTGTCTAGAAGTCCCAATAGTAGCAAAAGTAATCCTAGGAGCACTTCCAGGCATCTCCTGAGCAGCTCCTAGGAAGAGGAAGCCATGTCTTTGGCCAGCACCTGGCTCCTAGGAATAAGGGACACCTGTCATATGGGGCGGTTCCTCCTGGAGTGTGCTTAGCTCAGTGTAGACAGTACAGAGGCAAGAAGCTGGGAACAGTTTAGCTGTCTACACCTGCCAGCAAGGAGGAACCCCCAGTTCTGCCTGTGGGTGACCATGTGGTCCTTCCACCTGAGGGAGTGCACCTGTTGCTTTCGGGAAAGGAGGGCATGATTCTGTGACTCTTGGCCTCGCCCACCTTGTGGTACCCAGGAAGCATGGCTGCTGTTATAAGGGTTGCCACTGTATTCCTGCAGTGTGTGGGAGGTAGGGGAGGTGCCCTGAATAGTGACTGGGTCTCAGCATTTGTTCCGTTTGATGCCTGCATCTCCCTCCTTCTTCAAGCTCTCTTTGCTATTAGCTTTTACAACACTGGAAGTGGAACACCTCCCCTGCTGAGTAGAGTTCTTTAAGTAAGACTCTGCACCTCCTTCTGAGCACTAGTGAGTGCTAGTCATGTTCTGTCACCCAGTTCTCAAACCCCCTTAGAAGAGGCAGACCACCTTTCAGGAGAATTTTACATCTTAGTGTGTGTCTCACTGCAGATCATCTGCTCAAACCCAAAATTTATAGCTGATGTCAGTACCAGGTAGCAATTGCTAGGTGTCCAGGTTCAGACCTCAGATGCCCTTGCCAGTCAAGTGGCCCTGGGCAGGCTATAAGCCCCTCTGGGCTCCAGTTCCTGTATCTGTAAAGTGGGGACGGTGGGATGGTGGTAGCAGGGAACTGTAGACTTGCAACAAGGACGATCCACCTGATATTCCTGCCCATGCTGGTCACTTGGTGTGGAGGACGATCCACCTGACTCCCCTGC